CGAGATACTCGTAATATATTAGACGACTAGACTATTATTATTTTTAACGAAACCTTAACAAATATTATCAGTATATCATACTGTTTTCTTATACTCATTTCTACCTACTTTTACATTTTTACTCATTTTAAGTGTATTATATTAATTCAATTTTCAACAACGACAAAATACAATGCCTGTGAAATTTCAAACACCGTTAAGTTCCACACAATAAGACGGTAATGTATAATGTGTATTTGTGTTGTACCGCTAAAAGCATAATGTTGCCGCAACGTGATGTCGGAATGAAAGCGATTCAAACAGTAGTTCGACTATACAATATTTTTATTCCTGACATGATGGTGAATAAAATTGTCCTTCGTGTATGTCAATTAATTGCACATCATATGTATGTTGTTGCATGCAATTTTATGGTTTTTATTATGACCGAATTAAAAGTTATACCAAGCATTTCTTTTTTCATGATTTTCATTTTCAAAATGTCATAAGAGGCGACTAAGAGGACAAGGTACAGTAGCCAGTGTAAAAGATTGAAAACTCGAAATAAAAAACAAGATTTTTTTTGGAATAAAGTTGACTTTTAACTCGAAGGTCCTATTTTTATTTTAAAGCTAAACTCATGTGCTAAATATACCAAGAAAAAACCATAATGATTTTTAGATGAGGGCTTTTTATTATTATGATTAAATTAATTAAAGTACTCGTAACCGACGAGCGTGTATGAAAAGATTGATGATTGTGAAAGAAGCAAAAGAGGTTTGTTTGAATCGAAGCATTTGGCGTTTCATTGTTTCTGCCTACCCCTAATGAGAAACAGGCATGACAGATATGTATGTATGTATGTAAATTAATGAAAAAAAAATATTTTCTAACAACGCATACTATTTGATGGTTAAGACCATAATGCGTTTTTAAATTTTAGTCTCCGTAAATAAAAGGCGTGGCTTTATCTGCTAGAATTAGATAAGAATGTATGCTACATGTATGTATAAGATACGGTTAATTTAATCAGCAAACATTCATATCTGTTTACCCTCTTATGCTTGTTAAGTAAAGTAAGTTTCTGGTGAATTCATTACGACGGATCATGTGGTACTCTACCAACATAAATCAATGATGGAGCCCAGTTACCATATATATTTTTTTAATGGATGATAATGGAGTGGTAACCCCGCCGGCGTTATCGGTATACGCTGACACTAATGAGGGATGATAGGTGAGAATGAAAGCAGATCAGTTAGTCCATCGTGACGAATTACACTAGAATTAACCACGACAGTTTCCAGGGGGAACCGCGTGGAGGTCGACCTGATAGAGTGTATTGCTAGCAATGGATCAGTTAGACCACATTACTAACAATCTCTTTCTCCCCTACCATATCATTTGACATTTGATAAAAAATTGTAAATATAGCTTAAGTCGACCTACTGTTTGCATCAAGTTTTTCTTGCATGACGCCGCTGCAGGCTTATACCATCTTCTTAAATGAACTCGCCTAGAGATTGCTTTAAAGTTGATATAATTATTCTGTTTCATTTAAACAAGCCGAGTAGAGGTTAAACATTTAGTGTTATTAAATTAAAATTATATTAGACTCTTGGCACTCATATTACAATTTCACAAAGAAGATTAATTCCTGTACTACTGTATATATGTATTATGCATATATGTATTTTTGTTGGATGAAAATGGATTGGTAACCCCGCCTGCGCTAACGGGATACGCTGGCGGAGCACCAGTGGAGGGAGATCGATGAGAATGAAAACAGGCCAGTTAGCCCGTCATGATGAATTCATCAGGAATTAAACATGATAGTTTCCAGGGGAATCGCGTGAAGGTCGACCTGGTTAAGTATATTGCTAGCAATGAGATTTTTAGTCTCTATTACTAACAATCCCTTTCTCCCCTGTATATATTTATTATATTAGTAATATAAATACTAATTAGTTAAACCTATAATTTGTCACAAATCAAAGATTATTCCACCTTGTGTGCCTCAGCAAAGAATAGACCATGCCTTCCTTTCCCGTGGGTGTCGTAAGAGGCGACTAAGAGAGGACAAGAGATGGGCAGCAGCGTCCCTCTTAAAACATCCTCAAAGTTCTAACTGCGGTTACCAACCCGCCTGTCATGCATGGTAACTACTGGCAAAAATCACCTTATGGGAAAGGCTTGTCTCCAGCAGTGGACAAGTTAACGGCTGAAATAATAATAACAAAGACTATTTTTTTTTAATATTCTGTTATTTATAGATTTTATAAATATTTCATAAAGTGTTGTTTGAATAAAATGATATACCACTGTGACTATTGAATAAAAAAAAAATCAATAACATTGCTAGCAATGAGGTCTCTAGCCCCGTTACCTACAATACTTTCTTCAAATTTCTTTTTTTTTTCTTATTACGACAGTGATTCAGACATTAAAAACTTAACACTCCAGATGTTTGGCACAAACAAGTATTTGAAAGGCTTTATAGTACGCGTAACATAAATATTTCCAACGGCACGCACAGACGGCCAAAACTTTTGAATTGTACCGAAATGATCATCAAAGTTTCGTTATAAGTACGTTTCGGTGTAGAGTCCCTTTGGAACGACTTAACTTATTACTTGACTTATAGTCGTGGCTTTTTATTATCTTGTTAAATTATATTTATTCATTTTAGCCATTTACAATCCACTGCTTAATAAAATTCTAAGTTTCGCATACAAATTTGGTTATTTTGGAAGTGATGTGTTAATGTATATAGGAGGATCAAAAGTTTTTTGTTATTTTATTTTAAATAAATAGATAGACAGATACTCTTTATTGTTTCCACCAAAAAATTACAATAGTAAACTTATTATAAATATAAATAATTATATATAAATATTGTTAAAAAATTTACTTTGAAGTTATGGTAATTTGATTTCAATTTTCTTTTGTATAATATGTATGTATTTTATACAAATATAGAAAAAATAAAATTAAACACAATTAATGCGTTTTTTCCTGAAATCCTTACTAATATTATAAATGTGAGAGTGAGTTTTTTTTTTATGCAACCTAGAATGAGAAAAGCTGACGGCCCGCCTGATGAAAAGCAGTAACTGTCGCCTATAGACATGAGCAGTGCCATAGACATAACAGAGTATACTGTTGTGCCCGCAACGCAACGCATATACTGGGTATCATACCCCATATATGCGTTGCCATTCTTGAGTCAGATGTTATTCCTCTGTACCCTCTGTAAATGATCTCACGGAAAATATTTCTTTGTTTTAAAACTTTATCACAGTACTAATATAAATGTGTGTATATCTAAAGATAAAACATAATTGGATCAGATAAACATCGTTGTCGATTCTATTTCTTAGTAAAGACAATCTCTTAAAATTATAGATAAAAAAATCCATACAAGTATCTTCATAGGTACAGGCCGATTTGGCTTCGTCTTTTATTAATATTTTTCCTTATTTGGGATAAAAAAAACTTTTGTCACAGTACCTTATTTATTAATTCCTAACGACCCGATCAAACATCAACGGTATTTTTTTTAAATACTGCGGATGTTACATTACATTGCATGTACTTTCCTATATGTGTAAGAAATTTTAAAGTCGGTTACATATTTTTTTTATTTATTCAATATTAACAATAACACCATTTTTTTTTGCATATTGACTGTACCATGTCGAATACCAACACATGTTGTTGTAGAGATTTTACCAGTATACTTTTAGAATTCTAACAATGGTTGATTCTCGCCATAATATGGAAAAAATATTGATTTTAAACAAACAACTTTTGCGAACAAAATTTAATATTCAGTTTTTCAGAAAATCTGCTTATATCTTGATATGTTATTATGAGAGTAGATAGATAAGCTTCTTCTAAATTTAATACATAAAAATCCATACAAAATAGAGTAATACTATACACCGCATAACAGAACAAAAAATAAATACAACCGAATTGAAAACCAATTGCTTGTTCAAAGTTGGTCGAAAAATAATCGAAAAACAGGCTCAAAACTGGCGGCGCCAAAATTAAAAAAAAAAAGGCGCTTACAGCAACAACTGTGTTTGTATTTTTGTTCTTTAATTTGACTTTTTAATTAGTGAAGAGCTTTTTCTGCCATCTTAATCTTCTTATAAGATTGTCCAAATTAAAATTCCGTAAAGGCCCGCTTAGTTTTATTGTTCAAATACTTTCGTTTTTCATTTAAATGGCTCTTACGACAACTTCAGGTATTATAATTATTAAATTGTTTAAGAGATAATATTACTTGCTAATACGGGATGATGAGGAGGGAAATGCCAAATGATCTTCCTTTATTTTATTTGCTTATGTTCCTACAACGAAATCGATAAAAACCATTGACAGTATTATATTATATGTATCAGTATAAATCCAATGCTGGATTTGCCAATAGGCCATATATGCTGTGGCTTATGGGCAGCAAAGAGCGGCATATTTTGCAAAAAATATTATAATTTTTTTTCAAACTTACGTATCTTCTTTTTTGTATTATATATCTATAGAAACAATTTCTACATCAATATATTGAGAATTGATTTTTTTATGCAACTTAGAGTGGCTAATAAGCTAACGGTGATGGGAATCGTCGCCTATAGCCATGAGCAATCCCTAAATATAACAGAGTATACATTTTCACTCATGATACCCGTCATGCGTTGCCATTCCTGAGGACACAGGTGTTATTTCTCTGTACTCAAACCGAAACACAGCCATCCACCACTGCTTCATGGTCGAAACACGAATGGGACAGAGGTGCCCAAGCAAACGACTTTTGTACAAAGTCTCCCTCTGGTACGTAAACTAAAACGTAAAATCGAGTACTTTACGTTTTAGTTGCATTGAATTTGCAAATAATACAATTTTAATAAATAAACGTCGTTTACAACATAAGAATTACTTTATAGACGGCAAAAACAAATTAAACTTGGCTCAGAATCAACGAAGGCATCTTGTAAAAAATACAAAAATACAAATACCATAAACCTTCAATTCCTCTTCAATAGAATACTCCTGAACTATTGAGCGGTTGTGTCGACTCGCAGAGACGTCCACCGGATGCGGCTCGTCATTTCCGGACGATGCATGTTGCACGAGGTACGGTAACGTATATAGGAATCTGCTGAGATCCGGATTATGGCTTGCTTTAGAAAGTTAGGAACACGAACGAATACGTGTACCTAGAAATGAAAGCAATTACATATTATCCCGCTTTTAAGAATTCCCTACCAAAAAGGTACATAAAAACCCTTATGGTGCATCTTTGTCCATCAGTCAGTCCATATATCTGTTATAGCGTCATATGAGATGAGATAAAATAGATAAATTGCCACTTTGTTATATTGAATATATTTTATTTATCTATTTATACGAATGCACAGCGAAATTCAGTGAAACTATGAACATTTGGCGGACTTAACACCGGATGGTGTTCTTTACCAGTAAACCATTGGGTAAACCGAGAAATAAGTAGGCGGTGCATTATTGAATAGAGGAAAAATAAAGTACTACTTATTACATATTTAAATATTATAAACATATAATTAGACTAATATAAACATACACGTAATATATTAAGTAAATAAATACACACATAAATAAATGCATAAAATATTACTAGAACAAATTTTTAACTGTAATAGAAGGGCAAATAGAACTAAGGCTCCAACAATGTTACTAGCAAGGTCAAGTACATTTTGTATTTTATGTTAGCATATTTTTAAACATAAAAAGTTCTAAACATAAGTACTTTCATTACATCGACTCTCGTAATCTCACATCCATTTTTCACGCCAAAATAACATTAATGGTCGCCATATCTACGGAAACCATATGTCTACCACTGAGACAAGGGACTTTTCTCGAACGCACCATAATCAATCACATTTTCCGTGGAAGGCTCTTATAGAAATCATGGTTTTTTTAGCGGTAACTGTTGTTGGTGTTCAAAAGTTTTTGTATTCGATTTTGTTCAGATATTAAAAAATTAAATAATTTTAAACAGAATTGCTAATGTTACTAAATACACTTAGTAGATATTACATCACCATCATGTCAGCCGTAACATTTTAGACTCATTTATTATTTACATCATTCATCATTTATACCGTTAATCACGAAAAAGACTGTGTCAAATTAAACAGATTGCTTAATTTAATCTTTTGGTTTACATAAAAGATAATTTAATGATTATAACCTGATTAAAAACGCGCCTCCAGATGCCATTTCATTATATTAATGACTACAAAATATATAGCGGAGTCTGCGTATTCTGAGACTCGTTTTGGGGATTTTTCAGTCCTCATTTTGTTTGATAAACGTTAGACTCCTTCGTCATTTTATTTTAAGATATTAATTTTGGTGGGGCAGAAATAAATCCGTCATTTATCATTGTGTGCCCAAAGATTTGCTTAAATCGGTTTTTAGGAGCTTTAAGGATTAAAGAATTTATGGTAACCGTTGATATACTTTTACAGGTGCCTGCAACATGTCTCGGGTAAAGTCACATTGCCATAATTATGGGCCACTAGTTTTTAACTGCGGCTTCGTCCGTGTGACCGAGATATACTTATATCACCGGGATTAAATAGTAGACTAAATCCTATGTTTTGCACGTGCATGCCAAATTTCATGACATTTAGTTTAGCCATTAAAGTGGCCCAAAGTAACAAATAAATAAATTGACTTATATATTTATAAACGATGTTTTTTTTTAATCGGATGAAAAATAAATACGGTGACGGGGCGTCAGTGAGGAAAGAGAGATGACGATGAAAATAGGTCTGTTATCTCGTCATGATAAATTTGACAAGAATTAACCACAATTGTTAACAGGGGAAGTCAACCTGACAGTGTATAGCTAGCAATGGGGTTGTTAAACCCCATTACTACTTATTATAAAAATCATACACGGTACTTCATTATCAGTCAAAAGAAATCTGTAAATATTTTTATGCTATTTAGATTGGCAAAACTAGTTGACAGTGGCAACATTTGCCTATAGATACGAAAAGCATCATGGACGTCACAGAATATACAGTAACACCTATAGCATATTTCATGGATTGCTTCTCCTGAGGTGTTATGGTTTACTTATCTTGTAATTTATTTATTTATATGCTTTTATACTTTTACTTATAATATACATATTAGGTTATAATAAAAATATAAAATAGTCGTCCTACGCTGCAAAACAGAGTATAGATAAATAAAATTATAAATATATACAAATATACACATAGATACATATATAACTACTAGGTAACTTAACTATCAATTGTGACTTCACTAAAATCTTACCCTTAAAACTGACTCAGTCGAACGGATTTTTGAAAAAATATACCTTTAGTAATAAAGTGCAAATTGCTGTGTGGTCCCTGCATAGAATAGGCCACCGCTTCCTTTCCGGTGAGCGTCGTACCCGTAAGAGTCGACTAAGGGATAGCAAGGGATGGACAGCAGCGTCCCTATTAGACATCTCTATAAGCCTAACTGCGGTTGCCAACTCGCCTGCCAAGCGTTGTAACTACTAGCAAAACTCCCCTTATGGGAAAAGCTTATGTTCAGCAGCGGACAGTTAATGACTGAAATAATAATTAAATAAAGTGTTAAAAAAAAAAACATAAATAAACAGATTATTTTGTCATCTTTATTATAAGTGTGAATAATAAGGATATTTCTATTTAAAAGAAAAATAATCTACTTAACTGTAACAGGTGGATTGCTTTTTCTTTTTTTAGAATAATGTGGGTGTAGTCGTAATGCTTTACTAGGGTGGGAAACATTCCATCAGGAAGTTATAATTAGACATTTTCAAATATGGCTACAGTTGTTTTTTTTTTATCTATGTATTTATATTTTAACTCTTATGAGATAAATACAGGGAATTAAAAGAATATATCGTATATTTCTTGTATGCATGAGAGTCCGACGAGACAAGGGTCTTGGAACTTTACTACTTATACAGTAATTCACATGACATGATTTACCAGAAAGACTTCGTACAAATATCACCTGCCTCGGGCACATCTGTCCCATTTGTTTTCTGCCGTGAAGCACTTATGTTTGCATGGCTGTATTTCGGTTTGAAGGGTGCACTGAAATTATAGGGTAAGAACGCATAACATTAAAGTCCTCAAGTATGGTGACACATGAACTGTGCCATGGGTAACAGAGTGTATTTAGTGACGTCCATTGTGCTGGTTATATCAATAGGTGACGGTTACTTTTTTCTATATATGCCTAACAAACAAGCTGACAGTTTCATAAAAAACGCATATAATGTCTTAATATAATATATAAAAAATCGCCGTGTGGTCCCGACATAGAAAAGCCCACCCCTTCCTTTCTAAAAACATATCAAAGTAATTATATAAATAAGATTTATTTTTACGTCTCACTTGCTTTGTTATTAGACAGAGAGCTGATAAAAGAAGTGAAATGTAAAAATAAATCTAATTTCAATGATCTTAAAAGTCTAAGTCGAATCAAACTCTGCTTTGCTCTTCGAGTTTGTTTGTATGAACAGACACTTTGTTTTTAATAAGTAAGAATGGAATTCTAACCCTTCCTGTGCTATACGCTGTCGGGGCACCAATGAGAGATGACAGGTAAAGTTGAAAGCAGGTCAGTTGGTCCTTCGTAGCAAATTCCAAAAGAATTAACCACGATGGTTTCCAGGCGGAACCGCGTAGAGGTCGACCTGATATACTATCATAATTTCAGTCATTATCTGTGCACTGCTGGACATAAGCCTCCCCCATAGACTGCCATAAAGAATGGTCCTGAGTCATCTGCACCCACTGACTCCCTGCAATGCATTTCAGGTCGTCACTTCATCTAGTGGGGGGCCGTCTTACACTGCGTTTGTCTGTTCGCGGTCGCCACTCGAGAACCTTTCCTCCCCATCGGTTTTCGGTTCTTCGAGCTATGTGACCAGTCCATTGCCATTTCAACTTACTTATCCTTCGGACTATGACGGTTATTTTTTTTTACAACACGGGGCAAACGAGCATGCACCTCACCTGATGGTAACTGACTACCGCTGCCCATTATCACCCACAACGCCAGTGGCATTGCAGGTGTGCTGCCGGCTTTTTAAAAAGGAATATGCTCTTTTCTTGAAGGTTATGTTGTCGTATCGGTTCAAAAATACTGCTGCTGGAAGTTGATTCCAAAGAGTGGTTGTGCGTGGAAGAAAGTGCCATGAAAAATGAACGGTGGAGGACCGCCACTCGTCCAGATGGTTGGGATGAAATTATAATTTATGGCGGATTGTACGATGGTGGAAATCAGTAGCTGCTATCAGGTTATTTTGGTTCTTTGCGGATATCCTCGTTTCGGATTTTATCACGCAAAAAGACTCCGAGCATAGCCCTCTGCATAGACCTGATATACTATAACCTGGTTTAAAATACCCTATATTGATTATATTGGAGCTATTAGATTTCATTACTAATAATCCTTTCCCCCCTAAACGGACACCTGCAGTCTTTCCTCTAAATATCATTTACTATTTTTACGGTAGCAAGTACAATAAATCATTTACTGTGCAACCTGATAAATGGACACTGCAAATCAATTTCACTGGTTTATGTTTTCATATAAAATTCAGGATCGATCGCGCATTATTCCATCTTTGGCTCGCTCGTTTGCTACTAAATAATGTATTGTTTGAAGCCACCTGGTGATATGAGGTGCTTTCACACTGCAATCACTAAATCATCTATTTTTTTTTTATTATACAGTAGCACTAGCTTTTAATAGTGTAGCCTCCCCCCCTTCCTTTTCCATGGGTACCGTAAGAGGCGACTACAGCGGCTTATGATCGGGGGATAGGCAGCAGCGTTCCTCTTAAGACATCACCAACAGCCAAAATGCGGATGCGAACCCGCCTGCCAAGCGTGGCAACTACTGGCAAACCCCCCCTTACAGGGGAGGCTATGTTCCGCAGTGGAGAGTTAACAGCTGCTACTCGTATAATACAATACTAGCTTTTTATATACATAATATTATACAATTTCGTATGCGTGGATTTTAAAAGTAGATACATATTCCCATTTGATGTATCTAGATAAAATATATACCAAATTTTAAGGTAGAACAACAAGATAAAGAACCTGAAAATTGCATTCGATTTGATAAAAACTATTGTTTTTGTCTGTTATTATATTATATTATA